ATTTTAGGATGTTGTATGATGCAGTATTCCAAAATTCTGTATTATATCTGATGATGACCTATATCAACAATGCAACTCATGAGAGGTACCACTGATTGATGAAGCTATATGGTAGATTAATGCAAGTCATGTATACATTGATACAGAAAGTGGTTTTTAGACTTATTATCAGGAATTGATGCCTATCAATTAATACTAGACAGCGGGCATTAAAGTGGGCTTTTATCTTGTATTAACTGTTATTTTAACATACAGGTTTACAATATTTGCCAGATGTCAACTTATCTGTGTTTATGTGTATTTTAAACCATCCTTGACCTGTTGGGTCAACATTTCAGAGGTATTTCATTATTAGATTCCCCAGTGCTTTCAACAATGGCAGAACTTCTAATGTACTTGAAAAGTTCTTAAATATTCAGAGAGATAATCAGAGAGGAAAGTAATCCATGTTGAACTCCGTAGAAGTCAGACATCTGACCACAGGAAATGTTTCATGCTTAGTGATAATTTTATGTCATAAAATGTTTTATAAAATTTGCCAAATATCAATTCTACAAGTCACGGGTCCTGGATTTTGGACACATTTTGTAAGTTAGCTCATTTGAGGTTCCTTGTTTGAGAAGATTTTGCTTCATGATGCACGGCTTCACCTAGTTAGAGAGTTTTCATAGTATACAGATTCCGCCACAAGCAAAACTTTTGATTTCAAATTTTGAAATTTAAAATAAGATAAATAACTTTATTCGCCTCAGCTTAAAAAAGAAAAGAATTCAGAATTGGTGTTTGCTCCACATTTAAACATTAATATTAACTGCATACCACAGTTTTGTGTTCACCCCACCATCACAGCTGAAATTTAAACCTTTTAATTGCACCTAAAAAAATGAAGTCAAAGGAAAATGGAGATTTGGTAATTTTTCTCCTTCCCTGTTCCACCCAATGGAAATGATGCATTGGATCAAACGCTTTTCTTCTTGAGAAGAATGCCACCTGTTTACAGAAAGTCAATAAAACAACTGTGCACATAGTTTACCCCAAAAATAAAAAAATCTGGGTGGAAAAATAATAAGAGAATATTAAACACTCTAAAGTCAAAAAATTGCCCCCACAGCAGATGGCATATCTGCCCTCAAATATTGATGGACCTTTCGATTGACAAGAAGTGCATGTGTTACGTCTGATAAACTATCACATTTATCTACTGAGGAATAGTGTGAGCAAACAGGAAGTGGGCAAAGAACATGCTAGGCTAGAGTCTATTTATGCTACTATGGGGAGAAACTCAATGTAAAATAGCTGTTTATTGTTTTGAGATTTACTCTACACATTTATAAGTGCAGATGAGTTTGAAAATTCTGAAACGGTCACAAAGAAACAGCATGGCGCTGATTCACTGGGAACTGTTAAGATCTGGTTAATGGGTTATATATGGAACTATTCAAATTGACTTTCTGTATAGAGCATGGATTAAGAAATGTTGATTATGTATTGTCCAGATTATAACATTAGAGTGAAAACATAGCTATTGAGGTACTGTTCACCTCCCCAGGAAAAAGTTACAGTACTATTGTTTCATCTCCCTTAATCCATAGCATGTCAGCCTCTTTGTTCTTTAGGTTCCCTAGAGAAAACATCTGCATACTCTCATAGTAGTTGAAGAATGATCTCTCTTCCAGAGATGGTCAGAGTCCCCACCACATGGTTGATGATAGTATGATAGTCATTCAAGCTACTTGAGACAAGTCTAGAGATCACAAATGGGTGAATTAGCTGACCCAAACTCCTCCCTTCTGTGAGAGAGAAAAACTATCTGTCTTTGAAAACAGAGGAAGAGGCGGGGAACTGAGAAAGAAACTGGGTTTGTTCCATCCATGAAAGCAGTCTCAAAATCATTTGACTTGCCAACTTCAAAAGCCAATACAAAAATTTATGCCACCAGATAAAGACTGAATGCACCAATTATCACATTAAACAAGAGGAAAACCTTCTATGCACCAATTCCACCAGCGCTTTTTACAATTTTGTAAACAACAAACTAAAAGACTCAAGGTCCATCCCACCCCTGATAGGACCTAATGGTAAAGACTGCAACGATGACACCATTAAAGCCAATATCTTTAACACATTCTTTGGCTTAGTATTTGTAAACAGCAATGGATCATGCCCAGTATTTCCTACAGAACCACAGAAAACTACAATGATCTAAGACATATCGATTTTACAGAAGATAATGTTGAAAAAGCACTACATAATCTAAAACCATCTCTATCTATTGGACCGGACAGAATATGTGCCTACTTCTTAAAAAAGCTACCCACTGCCATAGCCGAACCTCTAAGAATAATCTTTGAAAAATCTTTCAGGACCAGCTCCTTGCCAAAACTATGGTCACAAGCCACGGTCATCCCCATCTTCAAAAAGGGAGACCCCAGCCTAGTTGAAAATTACAGACCAATCTTTTTATGCTGTGAAGTCATGGAATCAATTATTAACCAATCCATTATCCTCTACTTAGAGACAAACAACCTACTCTTCAATAAACAATTTGGTTTCAGAAAAAAACTATCCTTTAATCTACAACTCTTACACTGCAAAAACATATGGACTACACAACTTGATCAGGGCAAAACAATAGACGCAATCTACATAGACTTCTGTAAAGCCTTTGATTCAGTAATACATGACAAACTACTAAAACTAAAATCTTATGGTATCTCTGGACAACTGCATAACGGGATAGAAGCATTCCTGTCAAATGGACAACAAATGGTCAAAATTGGGAGCATCCTATCAAATTCAGTACCTGTCAACAGTGGTGTCCCCCAAGGTAGTGTTCTAGGACCAACTCTCTTCATACTCTACATAAATGACCTCTGTGATCATATCAAGAGCAACTCTTCGCTGATGATGTAAAGCTATTCAACACCACAGACAATACTACTACCCTTCAAAAAGACCTTGACTATGTATCAGAATGGTCAAACAAATGGCAACTTCAAATCTCAGCAAATAAATGCTATGTCTTACATATTGGCAAAAAAATCAGAAAATAAAATACAGGCTGAATAGTCAAGACCTTCTTAATGATCCAAGCTCTGTAAAGGACCTTGGAATACTCATCTCTAATGATCTAAGTGCTAGAGCCCATTGTAACTACATAGCCAAAAAGGCATTAAGAGTTGTTAACCTAATCCTACGTAGCTTTTTCTCTGGTAATATCACACTACTAACTAGAACATACAAAACATTTGCTAGACCAATACTTGAATACAGCTCATCAGTCTGGAACCCACATTACGTATCTGATATTAGCACAGTTGAGAAAATCCAGAAATATTTCACAAGAAGAGTTCTCCACTCCTCTACTTGTTGCAGAATACCTTATGCCACCAGACTTGAAATTCTAGACCTAGAAAACCTTGTATTATGCCATCTTCGGTCTGATCTAAGTATGTTATATAAAATCAGACATTGCAATGACTTACATTCAGCTTCAACCATAACAACACAAGAGCACACAATAGATACAAACTCAAGGTTAATCGCACCAAACTTGATTGCAGGAAATACGACTTCAGCAACAAAGTGGTCGATGTCTGGAATACTCTACCTGACTCTGTGGTTTCTTCCCCAAACCCCAAAAACTTTAACCTTAGACTGTCTATTATTGACCTCACCCCTTTCCTAAGAGGTCTGTAGGGGGCGTGCATAAGCGCATCAACATGCCTACCATCCCTGTCCTATTGTTTCTTTTATTTTTCTTATATGTACCCATTTCATGTATTCATAACTATGTATATATTTATACCTATTATCTTGTAAGCAATTGACAAATCAAAATAAATCAATAAAATAAATTTTAGCCATCAGAAGACCACGAAGATGTTGATCGTCCATGCTGGGCTAGGAAGAGTGGAGTGGGGTGGTTAAGTCAGGAGGCTAACAGTTTGGTTGTCTTGGCCCCTGGTGGGAAGTGTTCTTTTCTTTTATTCTTGTTTAACATCTTATACATTGCCTCCAATCCCTATGTTCTCACTACTAGCACTTTGCTTTATACAACTTTGAACTCTTTATAGCAGAGCTGCCTCCACAATATAGGAGCAGATGACCACTATCTCACGGCCTGCCAGAGCCTTGAGGTCTCCTTTATATTTCTATATGTAACAACCATTTACATTATTAGTTATACAGTAATTTGAACAAATCTGTATTGTCTTCTGTTTTTGTTTGCGACTGCTAAAGATAAGAGATTTTTATATATTTTTTCTTTAAAAATATTTTTTTGTAAGATCAGTCTATTTTGCAAAAAAGAAGACATGGGGAAAATAGGTCTCCCATAATATGTTACCTTTTTTGGCAAATTGTAAAGGGAGACATAAAAAGAAATGAGATAACTTGCACAGTGCTACCTCTTGCCCTATAGCACTGAGGCAGGTGACTAGTGAAATCTGCTTCTTGTTCTTTCTCTTATAGAATCTTCCAGTCCATTTATATTAGTTAATCAAGCTTTTGTATATCCCCAGGATGTTTGCATTATGGGCTAAGAATCTATTACTCTTAACTTTAGCACATTCAGACATTATGCAATACAAGCACTTGAGCACTAATATCAATTACTTGAAGAATTGGAGTATATATCACTTCTAATGTATAGAAGAGGCTTTAAATATGTGGGAAATATTCTAACTTGAAATGTAGCTACACAATGTAAAACTCTATACTCCACTTTTCTCTCCAGTATTGGGAGGCTTTATCAATTGAGATTCCTGAGGAATTAAGGTGAGTTTTTTTCCGATCACTTTATCTCGCTTCCTCCTCCTTTAAATATCTTTCCCATGGCTAGAATTATGCAAAATGAGAACAAATGAACCTTTGTAAATTTTAGGGCACAGTGAAAAAAGAACCCAACCTATAGTTGAAGAGAACATTAAAAGAACAAATTAAGAGACAGTTTCCACTGCTGTGACAGATTAATTCGCACAAAAATGATGCCAAGAGAATTTGCCATCAAGTATGTTTATTTATGGATTCCTCTAAAAGGAGATAGAAGGACAACATATACAAAAATGACACAATTAAATTAGTGATTTGTTAACAAAAATCTAAAAAGATAAATCTAAATCTGGATCAGTGCCACACAGCCAAGTGCCTAGATTATCGTGATAGCTAGGACTGTACAAAACGTTCCCTAGTATAGGAAATAGCTGGAAAACAACACTGCAACTGGAAACTGGCCATGCAGTGGAAGGAGAAAAATATAAGGCAGGAAGGCTTGCATGTCAGAAGGGTGCAAATAATACAGAGCATCAGTTGACCACTCACTGTATATTTAAGTGTGGGAGAGCAACTACACTGGACAGTTTTCAGCCTGAAACAGGTTCCATGCTGCCTGTCACAGCAGGTATTTGCAAGAAAAGGTGTTCAATTACTACAAGAAAACTGTCAAAAGGGACACTCTCTCTTTAGACAGACATCATATTAATATTGCACATTGCCATGGAAATAAAAGAAGTTATGGGGAAGTTGAAAGCTTTGCTTTTAGCCTTTCCATTCTGGCTGGAAGAAGACCAACCATTTCTTTACTCAGTTCTAGCTCAGTTTCAATAGCTTGGACTGCATCTGGGTGCTTCTCACAATAATCTACTAGAAATGAGTAATATTCCAAGGAGGTCTGCATATTCTCCAACTGCTTTTTGCCATCTGCAGTAATCAGCTTGCCATAAAGGCGCGCAATATGGAATTTGGCCACCATTGCAGGGCGCAGCACATCTTCCTCAAGGGTCTCTGGGAAGATCTTATCCGGGTTCCTCAGTGAATCTAAGAAGAGTTCATAGAATTTCATTGCCATCTGAGCAAGTGAATTTATTTTCTTTATTGTGTGGGAGTCAAGCTCTTCTAGTTTATTGCCAATGGCCACTTTTAAATCCATCATCTCATAATAGGTATCTGCCAATTCAAACTGAAGTTGCCTACAGAGCAGCAGATAATACTGAGGATTTAAGCCTGAGTACAGTGGCTCCAGCATATCGATCCTACGCTTATGCATCTTGCAACGCCTCTCCAAATCTTCTTCAAAGAAAGCCAGCACTTTAAATAAAGCACTGTGGTCTTGGACAATTTCAATGTGATCAGTGACATACCCATCTACCTGAAAGAACTCTTTTGCTTCATTGACATAGTTCTGACCTACTAAGAAGACTTCTCTGGCTTCTTTGAAGTCTAATGAAAACACACAACTCACTTTCTCTTCCATGGCCAAAATAGAATCACACAAATCACTAGTTCCAAAGAGAACAGCCTTCTTTCTTTCTTTTTCCTTCTCATCTTCCTCTTTTTCCTGCTGGGCTTTCAGTTCCATTTGCCTGTCTGGATCCAGCTCACCAATGTTGTCCTAAAATCAGCAGAATTGATTTTTAAATAATGGCTTGAATGTCACAGAATTGATGAATTCATTCCTTATATAAGAACAGCTCTAAATTTTTGGTATGACAAAGACCACTCAAATTGTTTATCACTTCAATTGGACTAATTCCAACATTTTTTTTCTTCTCTTCCTCACAGTGAGTTTCCTATCCTTTCATTTGCAATTTGAAAGAATCTACAGCTAAGCTGTGCAACACTTCTTTATGTATTACATACTATTCTCAACTTCACTTGAATCACCGTATATTACAGCTAAAATAGATGAATTAAAACTAGAAATATATCTAAAGGAAAGTCTTATAAAGCAGTGCACTTCAGCTGACCTATTCACATCTGCCAAGATACCTGGAAATACATTTGGTAAAGCCTGACAAGTATCCATCTTGCCTGGAAAAAAACAGACCACTATGAATGAATCCTGCTTAATGCCTGCTGATTTGGTTGTGCCCCGATTCCACTTGTAGTCACGATTTGCTTCTTGTGTTGTATATACTAAATATTTAGATGACTCTTTTCCAATCTTTTAACAGAAATAATCCAAAATGCTTCTTTTATCTGACTTGGGAAACAATTCACAGAGGGAGCAGTTGTTGGCTAAGCCTGCTATCAGGAGGAGCCAGGAAAACAATCCAAGCAGTGTGAGTTAGTATGGTAATGGTTGCGTTACCATTCTGTACAAATGTAGCCAAGAAAGCATTACTTTTGTTAAGAGTGATTTGCTGCTTTAGATGCACATAGCACAGTTAAACAATCGCACAGCCCTTTAGGTTCTGCACGAGGCTCCCTTTTCAATTTCTAAGATGCGTATTTAGACACAGAAACAGCTAAGCATAATACTCCACGAAGAAACGGTGATTAATTATTAGGGTGAAAGCAAAAATAATGTAAAACATCTCTTTAAACTCAAAAATAATAGAATGGGCAAAATCTTACCATTACGCATTCGTATATTTTTCTTTTAACTGTACTCAATGCTGCCTTTTTTGTACTTACGGTTGACAGGCACACAATTAAAGAGTGTTGTTACGGAAACAGAAGCCAGAAGTGTGGCTTTTATACGTCACATTTGGAACCTAACAACCAGCTCCTATCTTTGTAGATGTGGCAGATACTTTGGGGATGAGCAATTTGTGGCTTACAAGCATCCCAGACTGGCCCATTGCCTCCCTTTCTTATTGCCCGCCTGAGAAATTAGCCTTGGAACAAGCCCCTCAAGGAAACTCATAGGATTTCCCCCCTCCCCTTTTAAAAAAACCTAACATTCACGTCTGCTCCACTGATACCTCATCCCGCAGCATACAGGCTTTTTGTAATGGCTGCTGCTGCTGCTGCGTGGGGGTGGGGAAGAGTTTTGAATGAGATGTTTGTACTATGCTTAATGGCAGGAGTAAATTAATATGCATGTAAGATATGAGAATAAGCTTCATATTTGAGAAAAACTACCCCCACCCATCCAAGCAGGAGACCCTACACCATTTCTGACAAATGGCAGTCCAATCTCTTCTTGAAGGTCTCAAGTGATGGCGCTCCCACAACTCCCGAGGGCAACTTCTGTTCCATTGGTTGATTGTTCTCACTGTCAGAAAGTTTCTCCTTATTTCCAGGTTAAATCTCTCCTTGTTCAGTTTCCATCCATTTATTCCTTGTCTGGTCTTCAGGTGCATTGGAAAATAGCTTGACCCCTTCCTCTCTGTGGCAGCCCCTCAAGTATTGGAAGACAGCTCTCCTGTCTCCCCTGGTCCTTCTCTTCACTAGACTAGCCAAGCCCAGTTCCTATAATCTTTCTTCATATGTTTTAGCCTCCAGTCCCCTAATCATCCTGGTTGCTCTTCTCTGCACTTTTTCTTGAGTCTCACCATCTTTTTTATAGTGTGGTGACCTTTGTCCTGATCCACACACTAGTACAGAACTGCTACTGAAAATTAATCTTAAAGTAATCTAGGGCTAGGATGAAATAGGCTCCCTCTCTTACTGCTCAATTTCTCTAGGAGAAATTACTCAATTTCAGTAGGAGATGTGTAAGTATTTAGGGTTATAGTTACAACAATAAACTGTAAACAGCAACAAATCACAGTTATTTGCCTATGTTCCCTTGCATACCTCAAGCAGCTTTCGGGCCCCCTGTAACAGGTTCAAACAGTATTTAATCCAACATCTCGCGATTTCAGCCTTTTTCTGTCGAAGATCTTGCTGGTCTTGTTCTGATTCATCTGATTTTAAAAATATAGCATATGTTAAGCTAGCCCCCAATTAGACCTGGAAGAGTTTCTCAAGAAAAGAACAAGTTATAACTTTACAATCCCAACTTTTATTCTTAATAGCTATACAACAGTTTTAAAGAAAGGCTGATTACGTAGCCAATTATCTGATTCTGAAGCTACTAACATTGATCAATTTCATGACACTTCCTTGGCTCTGCTAATTTCCATTTGGGAAAGGCAGGATATATAAACATAATTTAGAAGTGAAACATAGTTTTCCTAATAGGATTAAAATAATTTAAATCAATTTCTATATCAACATTCCTCCAAGTAAAAAAAATAAAAGGAGTGTATTGCAAACATAGATTATACTCACAAAAGAACCTATCAAATGTTTTCTTCCTTCCTTCTGCCTAAAGGCAAAATAACAAAGCCATTTCCCTCTTAGCATTAGCACGGCAGTAGCCTAAATCCACGTCAAAACCTTCACAATGGTATAAGCATAATGTTGAAAATGAAGTTTTATTTGGAGTACTTATAAACCAACCTTCTCAATGTACCTGAACATTTAAAATAATATAAAAATTACTAGGGATAGTCAAAAACATATACAGTATAAGTTTCCCCTCACCTCAGACATTATCCTGTTACTTAATCTCTGGGCCATGGAAGATTTCAGAGGAAATGGCCGCTACAAGAGCAGGCCTGGTGAAATTTCCTCTCACGCTGCTACTCTTCTCTCTGACCGTTTTTACTCCTACTGGCTGATGCAAGAGAAACAGTAGGGGCAAAAACATTTATAAGCTATCTGTAGAAATTCTAGTTTGGTAAAAGGAAAGAGTTATTTTTGCCTTTTTCTTTCTGAACTGAAGCCTCATTTTAATCTCACAAAAATCAACTGGATAGTGAGACTGATTGGATTACAGACAGAGACGAAGGGGAACAAAGACTGAAATCATGAAAAGAAAGCAAGGCATTTAGCATTGACACTAAGCCAAAATCAATATCACCCCAGTTGAAACTGGAATGAGGTTACTTACTGTCTTCTGCAGATGGCATCTGTCCAGCTTGGCCAATGATGACACTGGCAGCTGCTAAACAATGCCTGGATTCCATGAAACATTGCTGTAGGGAAACGATATAACGGGGCTTGTTTCTGGACCATAATACACTCCTAGATTTCATTTAAGTGTACAACTCTTAAATATTAGTGTTCTGAAGTTAGATGACCTCCTATATGGCTTAATCAAAAATGAAGAAGTATTTACACGATTGTCACCACCAACTTTTGCTACTTAGACTTAGACTTAGACTATAGTGAAAGCCAGAAACTCTAAAAAGGCATAGCAGTTTTGTCAAGTATCTTTATTATGGTCTCTGATTAGCCTTTGACCAGCCTTTACAATAAAAATATAGTAAAAAAATGGTTTAATACAACAATTAGATCCTAAGAAAGGGAAACATAATGGGAGAATAAAACAGCAGGTCTAATTGAAAAGTTTTGCACGGCTGTTTGACCTGGTAAAAAAATTGGCCACCTGACTTGTAAGTGTCCCTTAAAAATAATACACCCAATCTGCATGGCCCTCTTCTTTGGAAATCATTGGTGCAATCAAGGCATCATAGAAGGGGCACCATATGTGAACGTGGGCAACTTGCAGTCATTTTTGTCAAGGGGAGTGTATATAACAGCATACAGAATAAGAGAGTTGGAAAAGACTATTATTTCATCTCTGTCAGTAAGAATTATATCCTCTAGTTCCCTTCTCTATCTTTTGGGAGATAAAACATGCTTCCCAAATCCTAAAATTAGAGATAATTTCTGTAGCAATATTTTACTGATCTGTGCTTAAGGCTATGTGGACATAAATATGTACATTTATTTTATATCATAGTCTTAAAATAAAACTCACTACATTGATGTATATTTTAATATTTGTCAATTTAATAGTAAGCAAAAGTGCCCAAGGCTGAAGGAAACTCCTTCTCAACAAATAAAAATGAATAAAAACAGTACCAAACTTATTTTGAGATTTCATAGCTACTCTTACTGAATATGTCTAATTATTATGCATTACTGACCCAGTCTTGATCAAACGTAGGAAAACAAGTTATATAACTGAAATTATTTTGTCTATTTGCTTGACAAAATAATTTTAATAGCAATCCAGTCAACCAGGTGAGTCCATACGGAATCTAATGCCTGCCAATAAGCATCATCCTTTTAATATTTTAACAAATGAGACATACAGAAGAAAATATTGAAGTAATTACCTTGGTGAGATAATATTGAGACAAAATGGCTGCATTGAGAGCCCATTCTATTGGGTAGTAACCACTATACTCAAGCTGCCGTTTGAGAGTGGTGTGGCAATATTGTGCAGCTTTCTCAGTCATTTCCAGGTGTTGGTAGACTTGGGCCAGATAATACAGTGTATGAGTATAGACTTTCTCAAACCTGGGGAAACAATGTCTTAGTTTTAACGATATGAAATAAACTTGTTTACCAACTTCCATTTTATGTTTTAGTTCACCCACCTTTTTGATCGCTCTTGGTCTGAGAGTGTCTCTTCTGTCATGAAGTGCTCGCTGTAATCAAATGGAGGATTCCCATTCTGCAAAACACAGCATGTGCTGAAGGTAACACATATAGCAAACTTGTGCTCCCTCTGCTGGCTGCATTTGGGTACTACAGCAAAACCTGTTTAGAACTAGGAAACACTCTTAAGGAATCATTCCAAATGTATGAACAAAATCAAATAGCAGAAACTAAAGTCAATTAAATTGTTTCTCTTGAGGAGAAAAAAATATTTCAATTTATATGACTGCCTAACTCAAATTCTTGACCCTGGGCAGCTAACAACAGTTAAAGGCACCAACCAAAACACAAAGCAATTAAAAAAAATAAGAAAGATAAAAACAACACCACTGCCTCTGCTACACATCCAGATCATTGAGCTTTATTGCATAGCATATGCTGCTAGTCACATAGATTTAACATGTATTCTCTCTTCCTTATTCCAATGAGAGAACTGATTGAAAGGTAACATTTTAAAATTAAGGACAGGAAATCTAGAACCCAGAGAGATCAACATGCACATGACATTTTCTGCCCTTAATAAAAATAACTTAAAAATTGGTGTACTTAAAAGCAAAACATTAACATCAAGCATAATCTTGTTTACAAGAATTCCTTCTTGATCCTACATAGTCTGCAGGCTTAAAAAGAAGTTGGGTTGCTGCATTCCAATATTTTACAGGTAGTCCTCCACTTACAACCACAATTGAACCCAAAATTTCCATTGTTAAGTAAGACAGTTTTAAGTGAGTTTTACTCCCTTTTTTGCAAAACAAAAAAAGCATTGTAAAGCGGTATATAAATCTAAGTGCTGTTGCTCTTTTATGACCTTTCTTGAAACAGTTGTTAAGTGAATCACTGCAGTTAAGTTAGTAACAAGGTTGCAAAATGAATCTGGCTTCCCCATTCTGTCAGGTTGCAAAAGATGATCACATGCCAGGACACTGCAACCGTCATAAATATTAGTCAGTTGTCAAACATCTGAATTTTGATCACCTACTATGGGGATGCTGCATCGGTCATAAGTGTAAAAAACAATCATGCCACTTTTTTCAATGCCATTGTAACTGTGAACGGTCACTAAATGAACTGTTGTAAGTCAAGGACTACCTGTAACTGAGGAGTTGAGTAATACAATTTTTATTAAAGTACACGGCTTAATAATCCACCAAAATGAAAGGCAGGCCGAACACTTGTAAATCAAAAGATAATCAGAAAGGTCCAAATGAAATGCTTCTTTAACCTCTGCTAGGGAGCATCCAATCAGATATGATCCTGTAGAACTTGGATACACTTCTATGCAGTGGAATGACATAAAAGATAACAGCAGATCTGGTATGGAAAAGACCACTGAGTAAACTCAAGTAAAAGATGGAGCGTGGCAGAGAACCCATGAAAACTACAGTTGAAGAATTGGCTGTTATTTCTAGTTGAAAGAAAATTTGGTTACATAAGAACTGAACAATAACACAAACTAAGTGAAATATTTTCTACATTCATATGCATTCATTCACCAATTTTCTGTTATAATTCATTAAAATATGTCTGAAAATGTCTCCTGGGGTAGCTCCATATATAAATAGAGCCAAAGATGGCTATAACAATAGGTCCATTGTGCTAATGCAACAATAGAACAAAATCAACTGATTGTAATGCATGATGAGTCTGGCCCATTAGAAGGTGCTTTATAAAATCCAACAATGAAATTTGATTGTTCTTTGTAGCATTATTAGCCACACAACAATACTCTTACTATAATATTTCAGTACAACTAGTAAAACTAACAGAATTATGGCAAGATTGTTTTGGAAATGCTTTAATAGCTAAAATGTTTTAAATGTTAATACAATTTAATGTTGCACTGATGCTAATATTCTAAGCATTTTTTGCGCTGATGCTTAAATGCCAATATTTTTTGCAACTGAAACATTTGATACCTCAGCTAGATTTAGCTATCAATTTTCAAATGCATGACACGTAAGAGGAAAATCTTTTTAAATCCTTGCACGCTTTTTCTCAGAAAACTCAATCATCCGCATAGGTATCCAAGGAATACCACAAAATTATGAAGTAAACTGATTCACATATTACCTCTTTCATGTACTGATTATATAAAGCCTCTGCAGATTCCAGATAAGTCTGTGCTGTTTTAATGTCATTTCTTTCTGACCAGAGGATGCCCAGATTATTCTACAAAACATGAGGAACAAATGGGTTATTTTTTTAAATGACAAATGGCACCAAATAGATAACCTAAAACTGAAATTGCATAGGAATGATATGGGGTCATTTCAGAAGTAAATACTATATGAACTGCACTAAACAGAAATACTAGAATCATTTCAAGTACTGGAAACATTTCATGATTTATTCAGGAGCAACTCCTAGGAAACAAGTTGTAAATGTCCATTTTACCTGCTAGGAGCAGTCAAAATTATCTAAAATATTGCATTAGATTTTCTTTTCAATTCTATAATTTTAAAGAAAATATTGGGTAGCTGGACGCGTAATTTAAACAGGATGTTACTAACAATGGCTCCTATTGCTCAATGTTATTTGGCAGGAAATACCAAAATAAAGGAATTTTTAATAATGTAATGCATAAAATTCCTGACTGCCCAGAGTGATCCAATGAATAACTGAACAGGCATTCAACTCTTGACTTCAACGGCACAGGATATTCCTAAGCTGTGGATAGAAATGATGCTTGCTTCCAACAGAGCAATATGTATGGCGCCAGTCTACTGCAGACATGCTAGATAGAACTGCTGAATTTCCTTGATGACTAACACAAACACAGAATTAATGACAACAGAGACACAGAACACTCGTTCAGGGGTCCCCAAACTTGGCAACTTTAACACTTGTGGACTTCAACTCTATGCTATGCTGGCTGGAGAATTCTGGAAGTTGAAGTCCACAAGTCTTAAAGTTGCCACGTTTGGAGACTTCTGCACTAGACTGTTACCATTCCCCCACCCAACTCCATCCAATTCTTGTATTGCCTAAAATAGATATTTCTTCTGCAGGCTTCCAGTATGGAATAGGGGGGAAATCATTCTAAATGGTAACATTCTTATTCTGACTTGTGAAAGATGCGAAGGAGCCGACTCCTGTCACTGGGTCTCTCGTTAGCAAATTCCAAAGCTCTTTGAGGAATCGATCAGGTAATACTGCAGTCTGATCAAAGCTTGCAACAGATCACCAAACGGTGAAAACGATCGACCTGTCAACACTGAAACACCATCCAGATTGCAATATTCTGCCATGACCAGGCTCATACAGACTCAAGTCTTATTATTACCCAACTCTCCAAACTTTGCATCACTGTCCAGCGCAGCCTTTTGTCAAGTTTTTTTTTTTTTTAAGTCCTAGAAACTACACACACAAACACATAAGGGCCAACCCAGCGTCCTCGACATGGCACACTCCTCCGGACTTCAAAAACTCAACTCATTGGGGGAAATTCTGGAAGTTAGTCAATTCACGGAAAAGCAGCCCAAATTCCTGGATCCGAGCTGGCTGGCTAAAAGGGAAAAAGCTTGCAGAATATGACACCTTCAACCCGTCTTACTGTATATGGTAGAGGTGTCTCCAAACTTGGCAACTTTAAGACCTGTGGACTTCAACTCCCAGAATTCTCCAGCCTTCTGGAAGTTGAAGTCCACAAGTCTTAAAGTTGCCAAGTTTTGGGGGACCCCTGGTATACTGGATGCTCTGCTCCGATGACAGATGCCACCCTCCCCATCCTAGCACCCCCTTTTTTTTTCCCTTCCCAAACCAAAGGTCTTCAAACTTGGCAGCTTTAAAGACGTTTTGTGGACTTCAACTCCCAGAATCCCTGAGCTTAATATGACCGGAGGAGGAATTCTGGGAGCTGAAGTCCACAAAACGTCTTTCAAGCTGTCAAGGTTGAGGATGACCCCCTGCTCCCAAAGGAAGCAACGCCGCCGAGCTTGGTCCTATCCCCGCCTGCCTCTTGTCCCCACCACCCACCCACCACCCGTGCTGCCGACGCCTTGGCGGCCTTCCCCAGGTGCGCCGGGCGGCGCTCCCATCCGCTTCCGACGGGGGAGGCAGGCTCCCGCTGAGGGGGATAGGCGGGTAGGGGCGCCCCGCACCTGGGCCTGGATGTAGAGGGAGACGCAGTCGCGGGAGAGGCGGTGCCGCTCCAGCAGCTGCAGGCACTTGGCCAGGTGCTCCTCGCCGGCAGAGCACTCCTGGGTGTCGGTGTGGTTCACGCCCAGCTCGTATTCGACCACGGCCAGCCGCACCGCGCGTCGCCGCCGCCGCCGCTGCTGCTGCTCGCCCTCGGACGACGACGCCTCCTCCTCCTCTTCCTCGCCAGGGCCGCGGGCTACTTCGGCCTCCCCGGCGCCGAGCAGCTGCTTGAGGCCTTCGAGCAGCTCCCGCGCGCTGTACTTGGAGCGGTAGGGCTCGGTGTCCGGGTCCTTCTTGGACTCCACGTAGGAGAGGTTGAGGGCGCTGCGGAAAGTGGCGCAGAGCGAGGCCCACTCGGCCGCCGCCGCCGCCGCCATTTGCCCGCTCGGCGCTGCTTTCTCCGAGGGACGCCGCTCGCAAGCTGCTCCTCGGCGGGCGTCGCTGGACCCCTCCCCCCCTTCCTCCTCCTCCTCCTTCCCCCGCTCGGCGCTCTCTTCACTAGTCCGCATGCGCCGAGAGAGACGCAACGTTCGCTCACGCGGCTGTCTCCCCTCAGTCAAAATGGAACCTCCGCCGCGGTGAGGGTGGGGGAGGGGGAGAGGGGGTTGCTCGTGGCAACGGTCGCTGGGCAACCTCGGATTCTAACGAGAGAAGCACACCTTCGTCTCATCTACAACAGGGGTCTCCCAACCTTTAAGCCTGGAGGACTTCAACTCCCACAATTCCCCAGCCAGCAAAGCCAGGAGGCTCCAGGTTAGGACTGGGAGCAGCTGCCCGCCCTTTAGCAATGAGGTGGAGTCCACAGCTCCTTCTGATCAAGGTCACTTGGTCTCTAACCTTGGCCACTTTTAAGACTTGTGGACTTCAGCTCCCAGAATTCCTCAGCCAGCTGGCTGAGGAATTCTGGGAGCTGAAGTCCACAAGTCTTAAAGTGACCAAGGTTGAAGACCCCTGACTTTGAGCACGCAGACACAATGCAGGTCAGCTAGACTACTCGCGAGTAGGCAACTTCACCTCTCATGAAGGGCTGTGGGGTGGGTGGGTGTGTCCCTACTTAATTCCGCCCTGAGGACTTGAGTGTTGCTGGAACAATGTGCCCAGTTCTGCAGCCTTGTGTGCTTGTGCCACGTATCCTGATCTGTTTTGACTCCTGGACTGCTTTGTGTGTGCCTGTTGGGACTTGGTTCATGCAGGGACTCTTGCCCTGCTGAGCGTGGAATCTGGACCAGTTTGGGGGGTTTTGAATAAACAACCATAGAACTCTTGCTGTACATGGGGGAGGAGCAGCACAAGTCTGCGTATCATAAAGTGGCTGAAGTTGAAAAAAAAATGGTATAGAACAGTGTTTCTTAACAACTTGATGGACTGACTGCCAGAAATCTCACCAGCCAGTTTAGCACCATCTGATAATCTGGCATTTTAAGACTTTTGTATATGCTTTTAAGTTACTATATATCCCATTGCATAAGTCTGCCTTCCCAAACTTGCCTCCGTCACAATAGTGGACTCTCCTACTCTTCTACCTTGGTTATATCCATGTCCATATTGAGGATTTCCAAACAGGGGCAGCTTAGCATTCCATGTATGCCATCATGACCAGAGCTGGTCCAATTGTGACGTATCCAGAACACATGCTCCAAATTTTTTTTTTAAAGCTTTGTAAAACAATCTTAAATGGCAGAAAAAGATCAAGACGACAATTTATGATTTAAGGGGATTAACCTTGCAAGATCTAGTTTGTTCTTAGACTAAACTTCAACAGCTCAGTAACTAGAAAGAATTGTGCCCACAAGTTTGAATACCGTAGGACAGGGTCACCAACCTTTTGTACCTCAGGGACCACCAAACTCATAATTTTAAGTCCTGCGGACCACCAATCCTGGCCGGTGAGGGCTGTGCTGCTTTTTGCACGTTGCACCACCCGCAAATTTGCACATTACACGTGCCACCCGCTAGGGCAGAGATTTCCAGCCCCACCACAGGCCGGTCCCATATTCCAGAGCTGCAGTAGTCACAAGACTGGCCCTTTGGTCATCCCAGAGCAGCTGCTTTTCCACCCGGGTGCACCAGCCTGCCATGGACTGGAAGAGCTGCTCCAAGATGACCAAAGGGCCAGTCCTGTGACTACTGCAGTTCTGGAATAGGGGACCGACTTTCCCACCAACGTCAGCAAGCCACCCTGGGGAGGATTTCCCTCCCCTGCTGTTGGTCTTACCTTCCAGTTCCAGCTTGCATGGCTGTACTCGAGGTAAGATTTGCACTCGGCTGAAGGGTGGGCAGGCCATGTGGGAGGCGCAGCATTGTCTTCCCGCGCAGCCTGGATTAATTGCTTTTGAGGGGGGTGCTTTGGGGAGGATATTTCTCTGCGGATCACCAAAATTTTCTCCCGGCCCAGCAGTTGGCGACCACTGTCGTAGGAGACATAAATAGAGCTTGCAAGCACTTTATCTCCAAATCCACTACATGGGGAGTTCCCCTAAATTTTCTTCATTTCAGAACACTATTATGGGCAAGAAAAGAATCATTCTGTTACTGTCCTTACACTATGCACAGTATTAAAAAAGTTTACCTTACTTAAGCATATCACCCAGGGAATTAACCAAATCTACTCTAATCCAACCATTTAAGATGAAGATAATTTTAATTAGACCAGTGTTTCCTGGGTTTTTTTTTAAATGGTGAACCGCGTTCTATTACCAAAAACTTTTAAGAGGAATCGTGTGAGTCAGGGATTGGCTTTTCTGAGCAGCGTGCTATACACAATGTACTAGAAAGAGATCTGCAGGATTCCCAAATAAAGTACAAATTCTATTTAATTCTTTAAAGATCACCTGAAAAAAGTCAAAGAACATCTTTTAAAATAGTCAATATTTACCAGTAATGGAATGTATTATAGAAAAAATAAAACAACAACACAACTTCAACTTCTGCAATTTCAATTTAAGTTGAATACTGAGTGTTCTCTTTCATCCATGTTAGGGCATATGCCAAAAAATTATTGAATGCATCTTCCAGATACATAGGCTTTTGTAAAAATGTTTTTAGAATGATATTCAGTTGCCCTTTGTCCTACTTCTGTCATATGTCATTGAGGTTAATTTATTTAATATCTAACCACCTTCCAGACTCATGGCTCTGATTTAACTGAATAACAGTATTTTTAAAAAGGGAAACCAATTGAATGAATAAATCTCAGTTTGGAAATTCAATATGAAATGGTCTTCAAAAGCTTTCTTAAAAAGCAAGAAGAATGGATGACTGTGTAGATCACCATTTCATTACAAATTCTCATTGGTCTGGAAAAAAATAAAGTAAAATACAGAAAATGGGGCAGGGGGGAAAAAGCCATAGGGAGCATCCACAACATATTCTCAAACTTTCTAATGTGCTACCAACCAAAGGCTGGAGATTTACTTGTGCCCAAGATATTGGGGCACTGCAACTAATTATGATAGTGTAGCACTCCTTGTGCTTAAATAATCTTTTCAACCTGAATTTTTGCAGCCCAAATTGAATGAATGAGACACATTCAGGCTAATAATTAAAACACAAATTACCAGGCTAATAAATAAAGTGTAAATTAATTTTACTTATGGTAAAACAAGAGGTTCGAGTCCCATTTTGATAAATTAACAAATTATCAAAAAGCTTGGTTATAGCTCCGTTTCTGGCCCCTATTTCTGAATCGATCAGGCCTGTTGAAACCACCGTTTCGTCTTCCATTCCTGAAGTCCGAGCCTGAATTTCGGCCTCCCTCGCGTGCTGGTGTATTTTCAAGCTCAGGCAATTCTGTTGCTACAGAAAGTTGCCAGCGTCTTGTATCTTGCCATGTTTCCTAATTAAAAGAAAGCATGTATTATTCTATAGGAAGAGCAGAATTGACGAAGCTGACCAACGTTTACTACTAAACAGCAATTAAAAATGCTTAAACTTCGCCAGAGACACAAACGAATGATCACAAACTGCTTTTTGTACCTGAAATTCAAGACCTTTTTTGCGTTCTTTCAGAGCAATGTTTTCAGGGCATTTCAAAACTTGGTATTTAAGATAACACTGAGAAAATAGTGTAAATGAAGGTTGCTTTCCTAAGTTTGCACTCTTATAAAACAAGAATAGGAAAAGGCAATTTCTTTAACTCTTGAATAAGAAATAATCCATTCTTTAAAAAAGGACGTACAGCCACCAGCAGCACATCCTCAGCCTAAGTTTAAAATCATGAGTTTCAGAGCTTCATCGGAGTGACACAATGTGCATTATGATAATATCCTCATGAAGTTTTCATCCCTTGCTCTTTGCTCCTCCAATGCATGCCTGTGACTACAGTGTAGAGATCAGGGGTGTCAAACTTGGCCCGAGGGGCTGGCCTGGAAATAGCAAAGGCCTGGCCTGTGGTGCCTCTGGCAGCCAAAATGGGGTGTGGGGAGCCACGGGCGCCCCCTCCACCTCATTTTGGCTAGCAAGGTGCTGCAGGAGGCAACCCCGCCGGCCAGCCCGCAGAGAACTACAATGCTGATCCGGTCCTCAAAGAAATCCAGTTTGACACTCCTGGTGTCGATCAACTGACATTCCAGTTTACTCCTATCTCCTATTCAGCTGTCTAGAAAAAATATCAAAGGTTTAAACTACCTGGATGAAACTTCATCCCTGAGGTTGATAAGAGGAATTTTGTACGGCCCAGGCTTGGGAAGGCATCTCATGACCAGCAACTGCCTTGTGAAGGGCCAGACCATGTAGGACTCATCAGCCGTGGGAGGAAGATGGCAAAGGTCATCCGGGGGCAGATGGAAGGGCCACTGAAGTGCAGGGCAGTGGGGGTGCAGGACACAGTGCAGGGTGGTTAAATAGGCAGAGGGGGGAAGTAGGTGGGTGGGGGGAATTGAAGCAGAGGGACTTACGCCATGACATCATTGTAATTTCAGGAAAAATGACGTAACTGGCAAACTGCTACTTAATGGACTACATTTTCAATTGGAGGAGAACTAGGGGTACAGTATGGAACAGTGAAAGGGGTCTTGGGGATCCAAGAGTCCACTACTCGATATGCTGTATCGTCCCTTCCTCCCATTAAGATTGTATGCCACAGCCAGTGTTAATTCAATTCAATCCCAATGGCCCTATTGGTAATAAATACTTATATGCCCCCAATGGGGCAAAAAAACCAACATCAGATTCTCTCATAGGCTGAACTGGGAACTTGTGCCGCTGACTTTATACAGTATTGCTGAATCCTAATTTGCAGACCTGAGAGAGGACTTCAGTGTTAGACTTCCGTGTTAGACAGCCTTCAGGGTAAAGCTCTACATTTTAAAGGGTGCCCTTGAAAGTGACCACCGAGCTGAATTCACCTACTGATCTGGCTCAGAATGACTGCTACTGACTATGTAATTGCCTCTTAAGGTCCTCCTTATTTATGTCAAGACTTTAGCAGTTGTCTAATTTGACCGCAATCATCTCTC